GTCCTCTCTTTGGAATGTTCACACTTAAATTCTAACTTAGCAATCTTTGAAATACGTAATCGACCGGGCTGTGCGTTAATTGTGTGTTGGCCGACCCTCTGTGTTGCATTACATTACATTTCAATATTTTACTAGGTTTTTTATTTTAGTTTGTCCTCCTGATTTTCAGGCTTGCTTGCCGTGTCATCGCACTTGCAGCACCACGTTTTGTCGTCCACTCATTGACATGCAAATGTTTTCTCTACCCCCTCCCTCTCTCTGCCTCCTCCCCCCTCTGTCTATTTAAGGCCTCGCCACAGAGACGATCACCTCTCTCTGTGCCTGTGTTACTCTCTCTCTCTGTGTATCTTGGTGATGTCTGTCTGCTTACATGTCTGTCTATAGTTTTCTGGTTAGATTCTATGTCGCTATTTCATTACGCCTGATGATGTTTGCTTGTGTTGCAATCGAAACGTCGTATGCTATTATTTAATTTAATTTATTATTTTATCTTTAGACGTGACTTAACCGAAAGAACCAAATAACATATTCTTAGGTTGTTTCGGTAAAGTCACCGTGTAGGTAAAACATTAAAATGAATAAAAGTAAAATAAAATAAAAATCACGACGTTTCGGAGGCAAAACAAGCTTCCGTCTTCAGGTGGAACCGTCACAGCCACGACAGCCGCATCAAGTAAATGAGAAATTGCAAGAGCCACCACTCCGTTTATATAATGGTTGGAGAGGGTGGAAGGGGCAAGTACGGCACACTTGTTATTAACACGGTAAGGCGAGGCTTAAGAGGCTGAGCCTTTGTAATGGAGAGGTACAGTTTGTGACTAAGCCTGGCCTACGTAACAATAGTGTGAAAAAATAAACATGGTAAAACAAGCCTGGCTGTCTATCAATAACCTGTAACAGTCGTCCGTCAATACTTGTTTCATCACGACGTGCCCAGCCTTGCGTTCAAAACGTCACCCCACACCTAGACGGTTCGCCCCGGGGCTGTCAGAGACCGCAGCTCTGATATGCTCAAAGTAGCTCTGGTCTTACCTTGTTCGACGCCAGGGTAGGTGTAGTCCCAGGTCTCGGAATCATTTTTAAACACATTCAGACGGGTCTGCTGTAAAGAGGACACAGCAGAGGGAAAGATGTACGCTATTCATGACCGGCACGTAGGGCATAAATGCTCGGAAAAAGAAGATACAACTATGAAGCCTAAATTTCGATTTAAAGCTTCTTTCGTGACTGCAGGGATTCATCTTCTTGGTTCTTTCCGCGTGACTTTAGCGAAAGAACCAAGAAAAAATTAACCCGTAAAAACAAAGTTGTTCACTATAAATCCTTTATATGCGTGGCATCGTGGCGGCTAGAGTCCTCTCGTCCTCTGGCTTGAGATGGCTGCCACCTATGGGTCAGATGATTGTCTGGCAGTATTAAGCAATTGCCAATTACATATTTAATTAGTTTTCCCTAAAAAGTGTAAAATTTTGGAAAAAAATTTTCACGAACATTAATTGTCTCGCACAACGAGTCTGTGTGCAAAATGTCAGCTCGATTGGATCACGGGAAGTGGGTTAAAAAACGACCGAAAGATTTGCACGGTCCTAAGCAAGCAAGCGAGCACGCACGCAAGCACGCAAGCAAGCGAACTTAATATAAAGGATTTAAGAACTATGAAACCATTCAAATCTACAAGCATAATTATTAAGCGCGCATCTTTAGCTCAGGCAGTTACGGCATGCAACTTGCAGCTAGACTGTCGTACCTAACGCAACCCATAAAGTTCTACGTGGCACCCCGTGCATTTTTTGAGCCCTGCCTCCCTCCCTCCCGATACGTTCCATTCATTGGCTACCACATTCTGATGAGCTCTCCCCCCCCTCTCCTCCCCCCTCAACTTGCATTTAAGGGATTACATCTTGAATCCCTGCCTCGCTTGATGCAGCAAATCTGGCTGTGACGGTCCCACCTGATGACGGAGACTTGTGTTGCCTCCGAAACGTCGTGATTTTTAAATCCTTTATATTAAGTTCGCTTGCTTGCTTGCTTGCGTGCTTGCTTGCTTGCTTAGGACCGTGCAAATCTTTCGGTCGTCTTTTAACCCACTTCCCGTGATCCAATCGAGCTGACATTTTCCACACAGACTCGTTGTGCCAGACAATTAATGTTCGTGAAAAAAAATTCAAAAATTGTACACTGCTTAGGGAAAACAAATTAAATATTTCATTACCAATTGCTTTATGCTGGCAGACAATCATCTGACCCATAGGTGGCAGCCATCTCAAGCCAGAGGACGAGAGGACTCTAGCCGATGCCACGCATATAAAGGATTTAGAGTGAAAAACTTTGTTTTTACGGGTTATACTTGTTATTGTTTTATTTTATTTTTATTAATTTCATTTTTTTACCTACGCGGTGACTTCTGCTGCCTGTCAGCAGCGTGGAGGGAAGCTGTAACGCAAGTTGAATCAAAGACGGATTCCAGAAGTGGCCTCAACGAGCTTTACGAGACGTTTGTGAACGTACAAAGTGTCGCTTGAACTTGCCTTTGCAAACTCCACTTGAAGAGTACAGCAGCCCGGATAGATGTCCACTCCGTTCAGAGACGACTTCGCTGTCTGGGCGCTCGCAGCCGAATCAAACGTGGCCAAGAACTTAGGAAAACACGACCGTTTTATGTTAAAAACAATACATGTAGCATCTCCCAAAATAAGGCGTAAAAGACACGAATAGTGGGCATGTCAATTGGTTTTTAACCCTTCTATCTGGCAACAAAACTGACACCTTTTTACAAGGAGTCATGTTTGCATAGACCACAATACCTGCAGTCGTAATACAAACAAAAGAAATAACTCTGATAATGTATGTGCACTGTCCTTGAAGTTGATTGGTCCACACCCGAGACAGCTTTCCTTAGAGCCTAGTCTCACATGGTCCTTGAAGTTGATTGGTCCACACCCGAGACAGCTTTCCTTAGAGCCTAGTCTCACATGGTCCTTGAAGTTGATTGGTCCACACCCGAGACAGCTTTCCTTAGAGCCTAGTCTCACATGGTCCTTGAAGTTGATTGGTCCACACCCGAGACAGCTTTCCTTAGAGCCTAGTCTCACATGGTCCTTGAAGTTGATTGGTCCACACCCGAGACAGCTTTCCTTAGAGCCTAGTCTCACATGGTCCTTGAAGTTGATTGGTCCACACCCGAGACAGCTTTCCTTAGAGCCTAGTCTCACATGGTCCTTGAAGTTGATTGGTCCACACCCGAGACAGCTTTCCTTAGAGCCTAGTCTCACATGGTCCTTGAAGTTGATTGGTCCACACCCGAGACAGCTTTCCTTAGAGCCTAGTCTCACATGGTCCTTGAAGTTGATTGGTCCACACCCGAGACAGCTTTCCTTAGAGCCTAGTCTCACATGGTCCTTGAAGTTGATTGGTCCACACCCGAGACAGCTTTCCTTAGAGCCTAGTCTCACATGGTCCTTGAAGTTGATTGGTCCACACCCGAGACAGCTTTCCTTAGAGCCTAGTCTCACATGGTCCTTGAAGTTGATTGGTCCACACCCGAGACAGCTTTCCTTAGAGCCTAGTCTCACATGGTCCTTGAAGTTGATTGGTCCACACCCGAGACAGCTTTCCTTAGAGCCTAGTCTCACATGGTCCTTGAAGTTGATTGGTCCACACCCGAGACAGCTTTCCTTAGAGCCTAGTCTCACATGGTCCTTGAAGTTGATTGGTCCACACCCGAGACAGCTTTCCTTAGAGCCTAGTCTCACATGGTGTTGGACCAGATGACGCCAAAAGGCACACAACTCAAAGACAATGCACCATCAGAGTATGAGAGCTCGGGGCAAACATCTACACTGAGGTCCCCATAGAGTGGACATGTCGTTGTTACAGACTCTTAGGTTTTTCGATAAAGTCACTGTGTAGGTAAGAAATGTAAATCAATAAAAGTAAAATAAAACAAATTAAAAATTTCACGACGTTACTTGATGCGGCTGTCGTGGCTTTGACGGTTCCAACTGAAGACGGAAGCTTGTGTTGCCTCCGAAACGTCGTGAATTTTTAATATTTTATTTTACTTTTATTAATTTAAATGTTTTACCTACACGGTGACTTTACCAAAAAAACCTAAGAGTATGAATTCTTGCAGTCACGAAAGCTTCAAATCTAGAATAAATGCACTCATCCTGTTGATATTCTTAGGTTTTCTCGGTAAAGTCACCGTGTAGGTAAAAAATTAAAATTAATAAAAATAAAAAAAAAATCACGACGTTTCGGAGGCAACACAAGCTTCCGTCTTCAGGTGGAACCGTCACAGCCACGACAGCCGCATCAAGTAAATGAGAGATTGCAAGAGCTACCACTCCGTTTATATAATGGTTGGAGAGGGTGGAAGGGGCAAGTACGGCACACTTGTTATTAATATGGTAAGGTGAGGCTTAAGACTAAGAGTAGACTGCATAACAAAGGACTGAGCCACGACAGAGTATCAAGTGCAGCTGTCGAAACGTCGTGAATTTTTTAATGTTTTATTTTACTTTTATTGATTAATTTTTTTTTTACCTACACAGTGACTTTACCGAAAAAACCTAAGAGTATGAATCCTCAGTCTAACACGTAGCAGAGGCTTTCGCGACCAATATTATTTACAATCAACGTGTTTGGGTGTTAGATCGCCGCGTTATTTATAAATGTGTCGTAACCCTCCACCACCCGACACGGCCAATCGGTAAAAAAGTGTCACGTTGACAAAAGACAATTTAGTTCGCTGCTTTAGCCCCCACACCGGTGTGTGTTGAAGCGTGAAACCACAACGTTTACTATTTGAGTAGCGCTGTGACGTTTCGCTGGTAATTGCAACCAGCATCATCGGGAAATTTGCCAGAGTGGTGAGGGGCTCTGCTGTCTCCCGTTCCTATATAGTATGAATCCTTGCAGTCACGAAAGCTTCAAATCTAGAGTCATTGTTACATCTTCTTGGTTCTTTCGGTAAAGTCGTCACGTAGAAGGGAAGTAATAAAATTATAAAAATAAAACATAATAAAATCAAATAATTCTCACGACGTTTCGGCTACAACGCAAGCAGCCGTCTTCAGGTGAAGAATGAGACACTGCCAAGCTTGGAGCTTATATATATACGCTGGGTTGGAGGTGGAAGAAGAGCACCTTAACAAAAGAATGTGCATATCAAGAGGAGTTTAGCATATTCATGGGATCTGGTTAAAAGGATATTCCACCATGGCCTGCAGGCCATTCTTCCTGAAAATCACAATGCGATGCACAGGGCCGCATGGGTGGCAAATGGTGTAAAGCAAATCCTGCAAAAGAACACGCGGAGAACACGTTTAGACAGACCGGATAACCATCAAACACAGCGAGTTGAGTTTGCATATTTTTCTACAATTAAACTTGAAAAGATTTTTATCAGTGAATTTTTAAGATCGAGCCATGCGGGACATCGATGCTTTTCCAAAATCAACATTAGGTCTAAGATATAATTGTATTTAAGCATTTTTTTATTCGATGCCATTGGTAGACTTCAAAGCACAAACAAAAAAAAGATGACTTCAAATTGCCTCAAATGAACCAAAGGCTCAATGTAATTTCCTTAGCAGAGCCACTAATGTAATCCAAATCGGATGTAATTTCATTCGTATAAATTAAACATGTGCGTGGCACAACCGACAAATAACATTCACTTTAATGTCCAGCTGTATTCTTGGTTCTTTCGGTAAAGTCGTCACGTAGAAGGGAAGTAATAAAATTATACAAAATAAAACACAATAAAAAATTCTCACGACGTTTCGGCCACAACGCAAGCAGCCGTCCTCAGGTGAAGACCAGGTCGGTCGAGGAGACAGCGTCTGAATGAAACAGCACACGAGCTTGGAGCGTATATATATAAGCTGGGTTGGAAGGGGGGGGAAAGGGCGCTTCGACAAAATAATTTGCATATCAAGAGTAATTTAGCATATTTATGGGAAATGCATTCAGACGCTGTCTCCCCGACAGACCTGTTCTTCACCTGAGGACGGCTGCTTGCGTTGTGGCCGAAACGTCGTGAGAATTATTTTAATGTGTTTTATTTTTATTATTTTATTACTTCCCTTCTACGTGATGACTTTACCGAAAGAACCAAGAAGATGAATCCCTGCAGTCACGAAAGCTTTAAATCGAAACATAAAAATGTTTTATTAAATCCTTTATTTTAAGTTCACTTGCTTGCTTGCTTACGACCGTGCAAATCTTTCGGTCGTTTTTTAACCCACTTCCCGTGATCCAATCGAGCTGACATTTTGCACACAGACTCGTTGTGCGTGACTATTAATGTTCGTGAAATTTTTTTCCGAAATTTTACGCTGTTTAGGGAAAACAAATTAAGTATTTAATTACCAATTGCTTAATACTGGCAGACAATTATCTGACCCATAGGTGGCAGCCATCTCAAGCCAGAGGACGAGAGGACTCTAGCCGCCACGCATATAAAGGATTTATAGTGAAAAACTTTGTTTTTACGGGTTATACTTTTTTTTATTGTTTTATTACTTCCCTTCTACGTGACGACTTTACCGACAGAACCAAGAAGATGAATCCCTGCAGCAGAGGTGGGACAAAGTCATTGTTATGCAAGTCCAAGTCGAGTCTGAAGTCATCAAATTCATGACTCGAGTCTGACTCGAGTCCAAGTCACATGACTCGAGTCCACACCTCTGCCCTGCAGTCATGAAAGCAGCTTTACATCGAAATGTCCAGCTGCTGTGAGTGTGACTGCACCCACCGTGGTGATGGGGTACATGGGGTTGAAGATGGTGAAAAGCAGGATGTGGTTCCTCTTCTGGCGTTCCTCGGCGCTGCGAGGCCACAAAATCTTCTGGCTGGTGGAGAAGTTACAATAGGCCGGCTGCCCGCACACGTAGACGGGGCGCGTGGACGAGTAGTTGACGCAGCTGCGGGAGCTCTCTAGCGCTTCAAACTCCACCAGAGCCTGCCGTTTCTTGGGCATGATCACCACGTATCTGTACGCAAGGGGCGATTCAAATGTGTCCACTTATATTCTTTTCGGTAAAGTCACACGTAGGTAAAACATTATAAGTATAACCCGTAAAAACAAAGTTTTTCACTCTAAATCCTTTATATGCGTGGCGGCTAGAGTCCTCTCGTCCTCTGGCTTGAGATGGCTGCCACCTATGGGTCAGATGATTGTCTGCCAGCATTAAGCAATTGGTAATTAAATATTTAATTTGTTTTCCCTAAACAGTGTAAGATTTAGGAAAAAAAATTTTCACGAACATTAATTGTCACGCACAACGAGTCTGTGTGGAAAATGTCAGCTCGATTGGATCACGGAAAGTGGGTTAAAAAACGACCGAAAGATTTGCACGGTCGTAAGCAAGCAAGCAAGCACGCAAGCACGCAAGCAAGCGAACTTAATATAAAGGATTTAAAAATTTATAAAAGTAAGATAAAATAAAAATCACGACGTTTCGGAGGCAACACAAGCTTCCGTCTTCAGGTGGAACCGTCACAGCCACGACAGCCGCATCAAGTACATGAGAGATTGCAAGAGCTACCACTCCGTTTATATAAACAAGTATAACCCGTAAAAACAAAGTTTTTCACTCTAAATCCTTTATATGCGTGGCGGCTAGAGTCCTCTCGTCCTCTGGCTTGAGATGGCTGCCACCTATGGGTCAGATGATTGTTTTCCATAAACAGTGTAACATTTTGGGAATTTTTTTTCACGAACATTAATTGTCTCGCACAACGAGTCTGTGTGGAAAATGTCAGCTCGATTGGATCACGGGAAGTGGGTTAAAAAACGACCGAAAGATTTGCACGGTCCTAAGCAAGCAAGCGAACTTAATATAAAGGATTTAACAAGTGTGCCGTACTTGGCCCTTACCCCCCTCTCCAACCATTATATAAACGGAGTGGTAGCTCTTGTAATCACTCATTCACTTGATGCGGCTGTCGTGGCTGTGACGGTTTCACCTGAAGACGGAAGCTTGTGTTGCCTCCGAAACGTCGTGAATTTTATTTTATTTTACTATTTTATTAATTTTAATGTTTTACCTACACGGTGACTTTACCGAAAAAACCTAAGAACATGAATCCTTGCAGTCACGAAAGCTTCAAATCTAGAATTGTGTCCACTTACTATTATAGGGTCGGTAGATACTAAAATAATAGCAATCATCTTCTTGGCTCTTTCGGTAAAGTCGTCACGTAGAAGGGAAGTAATAAAATAATTCTCACGACGTTTCGGCCACAACGCAAGCAGCCGTCCTCAGGTGAAAACCAGGTCCATCGAGGCGACAGAGTCTGAATGAAACAGCACACGAGCTTGGAGCATATATGTAGTGACATAAGAAGGGAGGGGCTGCTGGGGGCTCTGGGATCCCAGGCGAGTCCAGACGCTTAAGCCTCTGGGCGCCAGGCGCTGGGTTCCCAGGGGGTCCAGACGCTTAAGCCTCTGGGCGCCAGGCGTTGAGTTCCCAGGGGGTCCAGACGCTTAAGCCTCTGGGCGCCAGGCGCTGGGTTCCCAGGGGGTCCAGACGCTTAAGCCTCTGGGCGCCAGGCGCTGGGTTCCCAGGCGCTTAATCCCCTGGGCGCCGCCAACGGGGGAGGCTGTGTGTGCTCTGTGGGATGTCTGGTGGCGCACACGGCCCCACCGCTCGTTGGACCAGGCATAAAAGGGGAGCTCCCTGGACGATCGGGGCCCAGTTGTAACTCAAGACCCAAGACCCACGACCAGCCATCTGAAGACCCTGGGATGCTGCGAGAGCCAGCGCTGGGACTCTGGAACTCCCGACTCTACGACCTTGTGAGGGCGATTTCCGGAGTGTAGCCAGAGTAGAGTATCTAGGCTGTGTACCTAGGCTGTAACAGAGTATCAGGACTGTTGGAGAGTTGGAGTACTGTTGGAGTGTTGTATTGTAATAAAGAAGTACATCTACAAGTGTCTCCGGAATCCGTTACATATATATAAGCTGGGCGCCTTGACAAAGGAATTTGCATATCAAGAGGAATTTAGCATATTTATGGGAAATGCAGGTATGTGATTAGTACTACTTATGCCCGTGCATTATGCAGGATTAGCATTCAGACGCTGTCTTCCCGACAGACCTGTTCTCCACCTGAGGACGGCTGCTTGCGTTGTGGCCGAAACGTCGTGAGAATTATTTTATTATGTTTTATTTTTATTATTTTATTACTTCCCTTCTACGTGATGACTTTACCGAAAGAACCAAGAAGGTGGATCCCTGCAGTCACGAAAGCTTTAAATCAAAAAATACAATAGCAATTAGACGTTTTTTTTTTGGGGGGAGGGTGTAGCGGCCCAGCCCCCAGCCTCGGCCGGCTGGCCAATCTAGGCGAGGCCGCAGGCTCTGCACGGGACTAGGCCTCAACACGGCACTCAGTCAGGCGACTACTTTGTGCTGTAGAGTCGATATATATATACCCAGCGTTGCCCGGGGCAAGAATATATTTTAAAACTTCTGGAAACTTAAAAACATAATATACCATCTTCTTGGTTCTTTCGGTAAAGTCACGTAGAAGGGAAGTAATAAAATAATAAAAATAAAACGTAATAAAATAAAATAATTCTCACGACGTTTCGGCCACAACGCAAGCAGCCGTCCTCAGGTGAAAACCAGGTCCGTCGAGGCGACAGAGTCGGTATGTACTGCTGTCATCATAACATACCAATGACAATAAAACTCAGTAATTAAAAATTCAAATCTGAGCACGCCATGAATCGATTCTTTAAATCACGCGAAGGAATCGGAGGTCGTAGATTCCTTTGGAATCGGCCTATTCGCGTTGGTTGCATGTCGCCAAGTATGCTTAACATTTCCAACAGACACACACGTTCACAAATTTCCCTTTTCAATTTAAGATACATAGCGTCAGCATGTACTGCTGTCATCATAGCAGTTACCACAACCACAGTATGTACTGCTGTCATCATAGCAGGTACCACAACCACAGCATGTACTGTTGTCATCATAGCAGTTACCACCACCACAGTATGTACTGCTGTCATCATAGCAGTTACCACAACCACAGTATGTACTGCTGTCATCATAGCAGGTACCACAACCACAGCATGTACTGTTGTCATCATAGCAGTTACCACCACCACAGTATGTACTGCTGTCATCATAGCAGTTACCACAACCACAGCATGTACTGCTGTCATCATAGCAGGTACCACCACCACAGCATGTACTGTTGTCATCATAGCAGTTACCACCACCACAGTATGTACTGCTGTCATCATAGCAGTTACCACAACCACAGCATGTACTGCTGTCATCATAGCAGGTACCACCACCACAGCATGTACTGCTGTCATCATAGCAGTTACCACCACCACAGCATGTACTGCTGTCATCATAGCAGGTACCACCACCACAGCATGTACTGCTGTCATCATAGCAGTTACCACCACCACAGCATGTACTGCTGTCATCATAGCAGTTACCACCACCACAGTATGTACTGCTGTCATCATAGCAGTTACCACCACCACAGTATGTACTGCTGTCATCATAGCAGGTACCACAACCACAGTATGTACTGCTGTCATCATAGCAGTTACCACCACCACAGTATGCACTGCTGTCATCATAGCAGGTACCACAACCACAGTATGTACTGCTGTCATCATAGCAGGTACCACCACCACAGTATGTACTGCTGTCATCATAGCAGTTACCACCACCACAGTATGCACTGCTGTCATCATAGCAGGTACCACCACCACAGTATGTACTGCTGTCATCATAGCAGGTACCACCACCACAGTATGTACTGCTGTCATCATAGCAGGTACCACAACCACAGCATGTACTGCTGTCATCATAGCAGTTACCACAACCACAGCATGTACTGCTGTCATCATAGCAGTTACCACCACCACAGTATGTACTGCTGTCATCATAGCAGTTACCACAACCACAGTATGCACTGCTGTCATCATAGCAGGTACCACAACCACAGTATGTACTGCTGTCATCATAGCAGTTACCACCACCACAGCATGTACTGCTGTCATCATAGCAGTTACCACCACCACAGTATGTACTGCTGTCATCATAGCAGGTACCACCACCACAGTATGTACTGCTGTCATCATAGCAGTTACCACCACCACAGTATGTACTGCTGTCATCATAGCAGTTACCACCACCACAGTATGTACTGCTGTCATCATAGCAGGTACCACCACCACAGTATGCACTGCTGTAATCATAGCAGGTACTACCACAGCATGTACTGCTGTCATCATAGCAATTCCTTGAGTTATCGAAACGAAAATCGGTAATACTCGAATTGCCCAGGTCTACGTTCACTCCACGTCCGCGAACACAAGTACAACAATAACAAAGCTTCCTCCCCTATGCGGACAACTGCCGCTGACTGGTTACTTCATATTTCGATTTAAAGCTTTCGTGACTGCAGGGATTCATCTTCTTGGTTCTTTCGGTAAAGTCACGTAGAAGGTAAGTAATAAAATAATACAAATAAAACATTCTTCACCTGAGGACGGCTGCTTGCGTTGTGGCCGAAACGTCGTGAGAATTATTTTATTTTATTATGTTTTATTTTTATTATTTTATTACTTCCCTTCTACGTGACGACTTTACCGAAAGAACCAAGAAGATGCTTACTTCATAATCAACGTGTTTGGGTTTAGATCGCGTTATTTATAAATGTGTCGTAACCCTCCACCACCCGAATGGCGAATTGCCCGATGATGCTGGATGCAATTACCAGCGAAACGTCGTAGTGCTACTCAACAATTGTAAATGTTGTGGTTTCACGCTTCAACACACACCGGTGTGGGGGCTAAAGCAGCGAACTATTTTGTCTTTTGTCAACGTGACAATTTTTTACCGATTGGCCGTGTCGGGTGGTGGAGGGTTACGACACATTTATAAATAACGCGGCGATCTAAACCCAAACACGTTGATTGTGAATAAAAGTTGTGTCCGCCAATATCTTTAGCCAATGCAACTTCAGGCCGCGTGGAGTTTAATTCACTGGCGGATCTGGCTGGGAACTCAAAAGAAGCTTTAAATAATCTTAATTTTGGAGCTTTCGTGACTGCAGGGATTATTCTTTGGTTGTTTCGGTAAAGTCGCGTCTAAAGATAAAATAATAAATTAAATAATAGCATACGACGTTTCGATTGCAACACAAGCAATCATCATCAGGCATAATGAAATAGCGACATAGAATCTAACCAGAAAACTACAGACAGACATGTAAGCAGACAGACATCACCAAGATACACAGAGAGAGAGTAACACAGGCACAGAGAGAGGTGATCGTCTCTGTGGCGAGGCCTTAAATAGACAGAGGGGGCGGAGGCAGAGAGAGGGAGGGGGGGCAGAGACAAAAAAATAGTGTAGTAGTGTATAGTGTAGTGTATAGTGTAGTAGTGTATAGTGTAGTAGTGTATAGTGTAGTGTATAGTGTAGTAGTGTATAGTGTAGTAGTGTATAGTGTAGTGTATAGTGTAGTAGTGTATAGTGTAGTAGTGTATAGTGTAGTGTATAGTGTAGTAGTGTATAGTGTAGTAGTGTATAGTGTAGTGTATAGTGTAGTAGTGTATAGTGTAGTAGTGTATAGTGTAGTAGTGTATAGTGTAGTAGTGTATAGTGTAGTGTATAGTGTAGTAGTGTATAGTGTAGTAGTGTATAGTGTAGTAGTGTATAGTGTAGTAGTGTATAGTGTAGTAGTGTATAGTGTAGTGTATAGTGTAGTAGTGTATAGTGTAGTGTATAGTGTAGTAGTGTAGTAGTGTATAGGTGTAGTAGTGTATAGTGTAGTGTATAGTGTAGTAGTGTATAGTGTAGTAGTGTATAGTGTAGTGTATAGTGTAGTAGTGTATAGTGTATGTAGTGTAGTAGTGTATAGTGTAGTGTATAGTGTAGTAGTGTATAGTGTAGTGTAGTGTATAGTGTAGTGTATAGTGTAGTAGTGTATAGTGTAGTGTATAGTGTAGTAGTGTATAGTGTAGTGTATAGTGTAGTAGTGTATAGTGTAGTAGTGTATAGTGTAGTGTAGTGTGTAGTAGTGTATAGTGTAGTGTATAGTGTAGTGTATAGTGTAGTGTATAGTGTAGTGTAGTAGTGTATAGTGTAGTGCAGGGGTCGGCAACCAAAATAACAAGAAGAGCCATTTCTTTCCAATTCGGTACAAAATTCAGTATTTCAAAAGCCGCAAAGCATCTGAGTACATGCTGTACATACGTACTCATCGTCAAGAAGCAGCCCGTAAAGAGCCACATGCGGCTCCGGAGCCATAGGTTGCCGACCCCTGCACTACACTATACACTACACTACTATACACTACTACACTATACACTACACTATACACTACACTACTATACACTACTACACTATACACTACACTACTATACACTACTACACTATACACTACACTATACACTACTATATTATACACTACTACACTATATACTACACTATACACTACTACACTATACACTACACTATACACTACTACACTATACACTACACTACTATACACTACTACAGTATACACTACACTATACACTACACTACTATACACTACTACACTATACACTACACTATACACTACTATATTATACACTACTACACTATATACTACACTATACACTACTATATTATACACTACTACACTATACACTACACACTACTATATTATACACTACTACACTATACACTACACTATACACTACTACACTATACACTACTACACTATACACTACTACACTATACACTACACTATACACTACTACACTATACACTACACTATACACTACTACACTATACACTACACTATACACTACTATATTATACACTACTACACTACTACACTACACTATACAATACATTATACACTACTACACTATACACTACACCAGGGGTCGGCAACCAAAATAACAAGAAGAGCCATTTCTTTCCAATTCGGTACAAAATTCAGTATTTCAAGAGCCGCAATGCATCTGAGTACATGCTGTACATACGTACTCATCGTCAAGAAGCAGCCCGTAAAGAGCCACATGCCGCTCCGGAGCCGTAGGTTGCCGACCCCTGCACTACACTATACACTACACTACTATACACTACTACACTATACACTACACTATACACTACACTACTATACACTACTACACTATACACTACACTACTATACACTACTACACTATACACTACACTATACACTACTATATTATACACTACTACACTATATACTACACTATACACTACTACACTATACACTACACTATACACTACTACACTATACACTACACTACTATACACTACTACAGTATACACTACACTATACACTACACTACTATACACTACTACACTATACACTACACTATACACTACTATATTATACACTACTACACTATATACTACACTATACACTACTATATTATACACTACTACACTATACACTACACACTACTATATTATACACTACTACACTATACACTACACTATACACTACTACACTATACACTACTACACTATACACTACTACACTATACACTACACTATACACTACTACACTATACACTACACTATACACTACTATATTATACACTACTACACTACTACACTACACTATACAATACATTATACACTACTACACTATACACTACACCAGGGGTCGGCAACCAAAATAACAAGAAGAGCCATTTCTTTCCAATTCGGTACAAAATTCAGTATTTCAAGAGCCGCAATGCATCTGAGTACATGCTGTACACACGTACTCATCGTCAAGAAGCAGCCCATAAAGAGCCGCATGCCGCTCCGGAGCCGTAGGTTGCCGACCCCTGCACTACACTATACACTACACTACTATACACTACTACACTATACACTACACTATACACTACACTACTATACACTACTACACTATACACTACACTACTATACACTACTACACTATACACTACACTATACACTACACTACTATACACTACTACACTATACACTACACTACTATACACTACTACACTATACACTACACTATACACTACTATATTATACACTACTACACTATATACTACACTATACACTACTACACTATACACTACACTATACACTACTACACTATACACTACACTACTACAGTATACACTACACTATACACTACACTACTATACACTACTACACTATACACTACACTATACACTACTATATTATACACTACTACACTATATACTACACTATACACTACTATATTATACACTACTACACTATACACTACACACTACTATATTATACACTACTACACTATACACTACACTATACACTACTACACTATACACTACTACACTATACACTACTACACTATACACTACACTATACACTACTACACTATACACTACACTATACACTACTACACTATACACTACACTATACACTACTATATTATACACTACTACACTACTACACTACACTATACAATACATTATACACTACTACACTATACACTACACCAGGGGTCGGCAACCAAAATAACAAGAAGAGCCATTTCTTTCCAATTCGGTACAAAATTCAGTATTTCAAGAGCCGCAATGCATCTGAGTACATGCTGTACACACGTACTCATCGTCAAGAAGCAGCCCATAAAGAGCCGCATGCGGCTCCGGAGCCGTAGGTTGCCGACCCCTGGGGTAGGGAAACATTTTTTTTACGACACATTTATAAATAACGCGGCGATCTAAACCCAAAAACGTTGATCGTGAATAATATCGGTCGCGAAAGCCTACGACGTCTTAGACTGGTTACTTGATTGCGCCAAAGGGCTGCAGGGTCTGCACGAGGTCCGACCCCAGGGCTGCGACCGACAATCCCCGAACGTGAACCACGGCCGACGGTGGGGGCTTGTGTGGGTCCTCAAACGTGTCCTGTACACATAGACAAGGAAGCAAACTCAATACGGCGATCCCTCGCCACTTCAAGTTTGGGCCTCAGTGCATCGCGGATTTTCCGAACTGATTTAAAGGCCTCGTTATAGCTGTGCAGCAGTAACACCATCATCATCGTCATTCATTCATTACGTTCATCGAACTGCACAGGTCTGTCATCGTCGTCATTGTCATCGTCATTGTCATCGTCATCGTCGTCATTACTGCAGTCAAGTCTCAAGATACTACTGTCATTGGTGAGTGTAGATCACCATAATACGTATCGTATGAGAGAGAGAGAGTGAATGTATAATATGAAGGTTTTATAATTAAATAGATTAAAGTAAAATATATGTGAGTGAGTGAGTGTATAATATGAAGGTTTTATAATTAAATAGACTTAAGTAAAATATACGTGAGTGAGTGAGTGTATAATATGAAGGTTTTATAATTAAATAGATTTAAGTAAAATATACGTGAGTGAGTGAGTGTATAATATGAAGGTTTTATAATTAAATAGATTTAAGTAAAATATACGTGAGTGAGTGAGTGTATAATATGAAGGTTTTATAATTAAATAGATTTAAGTAAAATATATGTGAGTGAGTGTATAATATGAAGGTTTATAATTAAATAGACTTAAGTAAAATATACGTGAGTGAGTGAGTGTATAATATGAAGGTTTTATAATTAAATAGATTTAAGTAAAATATATGTGAGTGAGTGAGTGTATAATATGAAGGTTTTATAATTAAATAGATTTAAGTAAAATATATGTGAGTGAGTGAGTGTATAATATGAAGGTTTTATAATTAAATAGATTCAAGTAAAATATATGTGAGTGAGTGAGTGTATAATATGAAGGTTTTATAATTAAATAGATTAAAGTAAAATATACGTGAGTGAGTGAGTGTATAATATGAAGGTTTTATAATTAAATAGATTTAAGTAAAATATACGTGAGTGAGTGAGTGTATAATATGAAGGTTTTATAATTAAATAGATTAAAGTAAAATATACGTGAGTGAGTGAGTGTATAATATGAAGGTTTTATAATTAAATAGATTTAAGTAAAATATATGTGAGTGAGTGAGTGTATAATATGAAGGTTTTATAATTAAATAGATTTAAGTAAAATATATGTGAGTGAGTGAGTGTATAATATGAAGGTTTTATAATTAAATAGATTTAAGTAAATATATGTGAGTGAGTGAGTGTATAATATGAAGGTTTATAATTAAATAGACTTAAGTAAAATATACGTGAGTGAGTGAGTGTATAATATGAAGGTTTTATAATTAAATAGATTTAAGTAAAATATATGTGAGTGAGTGAGTGTATAATATGAAGGTTTTATAATTAAATAGATTTAAGTAAATATATGAGAGTGAGTGAGTAATATGAAGGTTTTATAATTAAATAGATTCAAGTAAAATATATGTGAGTGAGTGAGTGTATAATATGAAGGTTTTATAATTAAATAGATTTAAGTAAAATATATGAGAGTGAGTGAGTGTATAATATGAAGGTTTTATAATTAAATAGATTTAAGTAAAATATATGTGAGTGAGTGAGTGTATAATATGAAGGTTTTATAATTAAATAGATTTAAGTAAAATATACGTGAGTGAGTGAGTGTATAATATGAAGGTTTTATAATTAAACAGATTTAAGTAAAATATACGTGAGTGAGTGAGTGTATAATATGAAGGTTTTATAATTAAATAGATTCAAGTAAAATATATGTGAGTGAGTGAGTGTATAATATGAAGGTTTTATAATTAAATAGATTTAAGTAAAATATATGTGAGTGAGTGAGTGTATAATATGAAGGTTTTATAATTAAATAGATTTAAGTAAAATATATGTGAGTGAGTGAATGTATAATATGAAGGTTTTATAATTAAATAGATTTAAGTAAAATATATGTGAGTGAGTGAGTGTATAATATGAAGGTTTTATAATTAAATAGATTTAAGTAAAATATATGAGAGTGAGTGAATGTATAATATGAAGGTTTTATAATTAAATAGATTTAAGTAAAATATATGAGAGTGAGTGAATGTATAATATGAAGGTTTTATAATTAAATAGATTTAAGTAAAATATATGAGAGTGAGTGAATGTATAATATGAAGGTTTTATAATTAAATAGATTTAAGTAAAATATATGAGAGTGAGTGAATGTATAATATGAAGGTTTTATAATTAAATAGATTTAAGTAAAATATACGTGAGTGAGTGAGTGTATAATATGAAGGTTTTATAATTAAATAGATTTAAGTAAAATATATGAGAGTGAGTGAGTGTATAATATGAAGGTTTTATAATTAAATAGATTTAAGTAAAATATACGTGAGTGAGTGAGTGTATAATATGAAGGTTTGATAATTAAATAGATTCAAGTAAAATATATGTGAGTGAGTGAGTGTATAATATGAAGGTTTTATAATTAAATAGATTTAAGTAAAATATATAAAGTATAAATATACATATGTTAAACATTCTGGAACCCACACACACACACACGGACATTCCTAGGGGGCCAATCCTACTTGGCGGATGTTCACCTATCGCGACGGGGGTTCCGGTCCCCATTAACCGCGATCAACGAGGGATCGCTGTATTGATATTCTTCGGTTTTTTCGGTAAAGTCACCGTGTAGGTAAAACATCAAAATTAATGAAAATAAAATAAAATAAAAATCACCCTCCCCCCCCTCTCCTCCCCCCTCAACTTGCTTATAAGGGATTACATCTTGAATCCTTGCCTCACTTGATGCAGCTAATCCGGCTGTGACGGTCCCACCTGATGACGGAGACTTGTGTTGCCTCCGAAACGTCGTGATCTTTATTTTATTTTCATTAATTTTGATGTTTTACCTACACGGTGACTTTACCGAAAAAACCGAAGAATATGAATCCTTGCAGTCACGAAAGCTTCAAATCTAGAATCGCTGTATTGCCTTTGGATGGTCAGTGCTGTGTATGTGCGTACGCTCGCGGCTTGCGAAATCGGCGTTCCACAGGTGCGCGACCGTAACGTCGCTATTCGGAGTTGAGACGATTTGCCGTGTGGGGCTGCGTATTGGAAGAGGGAGTGTGAACGCGAGCGGTGCTGTGTGCACGTACGCTCGCAACGTAGGCGCGCCGCGCGGAGTTGCGTGAGGGAGAGTATCGCGCAGTGGCGGCTCCTGCAATTTCTCTCAGGGGGGGGCAAATGTGTGGATGATTGATAAGGATAAGCTCCACCCATGCAATGAATAAATTAACAGCTTAAAGTGACTCTTACAATACATCTTGTTTGTTTCTATACTCACTATTATTACAATCCACTCAGGTTTATTTTATTAAAGATTCCACTAGGTGGCGACAAATAATATCGTTGACTGAAACGTGCTGACGTATGATGACGTAAGCACGTTAGGGCGAGCCCTCCCGGAAGCCGTAGAGAATGCTTTGCAGCGCCCGCCGTTCGAAAAAAAAACATCTTTGAATGTAAGTCTATGGGAACACTCGGGGCGATTCTCAGCCGGAGTGAAATCGCCCAAAAAGAGGCGGTACTCCACAGAACGTGACATGACGCTGATTGGACTATATCCAGAGGCACAGTGACGGCTAGCGTGACTCTGTGGTTCATTGACATTGGTGGTGCGTCGCCCAATCGCCCTAATGAAGAAACCGCCCCTGGTATCGCGTACGGATGGACGGTGCTGTGTGCACGTACGCTCGCAGCGGCGTGCGCGTGCTGCGCGGGACGGTGCAAGAGGAGGTATCGCTCTTAATTTTGGAGCTTTCGTGACTGCAGGGATTATTCTTTGGTTCTTTCGGTAAAGTCGCGTATAAAGATACAATAATAAATTTAATAATAGCATACGACGTTTCGATTGCAACACAATCATCATCATCAGGTGTAAATGAAATAGCGACATAGAATATAACCATAAAACTATAGACGGACATATTAGCAGACAGACATCATCAAGATACACAGAGAGAGAGAGTAACACAGGCACAGAGAGAGGTGATCGTCTCTGTGGGGTGGCCTTAAATAGAAAACTATAGACGGACATATAAGCAGACAGACATCACCAAGATACACAGAGAGAGAGTAACACAGGCACAGAGAGGGGTGATCGTCTCTGTGGCGAGGCCTCAAATAGACAGAGGGGGCGGAGGCAGAGAGAGGGACGGGGTAGGGAAAAATGTACATGTCAATGAGTACGAAGAAGATGCGTGGTCAATTACGCAAGCTTGAACATTAGGAGAGAGGGAGAAAGAACACACTAACTTAAACAACCTAGCAAAATATCGAATTGCTATGTAATACGACACAGAGAGTCGGTCAACACACAATTGACGCGCAGCCCGGTCGATTACGTATCGCGTTTGGATGGTCGATGCCGTGTGCACGGCCCCCACAATGTGACGTCACGAGTGGGATATTTCATCGGCCCACGAAAACCATCGTCAATTAAATTATCACTATGGGGACCTCATTTGCCAGTAAAAATATGATAATTGGTTCTTTACCCTTCTATCTGGCAACAAAACTGACACCTTTTTACAAGGAGTCATGTTTGCGTAGACCGCAATACCTGCAGTCATAATGCAAACAAAAGAAATAACTCTGATAATGTGCACTGTCCTTGAAGTTGGACAGTGCACATTATCAGAGTTATTTCTTTTGTTTGCATTATGACTGCAGGTATTGTGGTCTATGCAAACATGACTCCTTGTAAAAAGGTGTCAGTTTTGTTGCCAGATAGAAGGGTAAAGAACCAATTATCAATTAAATTATCGTTCATCGAATACAGGAAATGCATGTTAGAGGGCGTCATTTGCTCCGAGACGATCGGCAGCTGATATAATATTTAAACATAGTTTATAGTACGCACAATCACAGGCGCTACGAGAACAATGGGCTTGCATAATGCGCATTGATTATCATATAATAACCCAACCTGGCAATGGATACCCATAGTCATGTATATGCATTCATTAATCTCCCCCGCACTTCGCACAAAAAAGAGGTGATTTCTCCACAAGTCTGTCTGTCGCCTGATGAAGCTGGTTGTAATTACTGGCGAAACGTCGTTACTCAGATTGAAAATGTTGTGGCTTTGCTCTCCAACACACCGGTGTGCTGTACTAGTACAC